ATTGAAATTTTCCCAAATAACTTTTTCAATTGAAAATATTCTTGGGAAAACTTGCGTCAAAGTTTCTAATAAAAATATTGCGAACTTTATTGAAATTTCGATAATAAAGTAGATAGACTTGAATCCCCTTGATAATCATTGCTATGAAGCTGTGGAGTACAGCGAGCAAACGAATATTTAGTACGATAAGAATAGAATACTTAGTTGAATAGTTAATGCGATTAGAATAGGATGGTTGATCGACCAGTTGGTGCAATTTGAATAGAATAATTAATTGAATAGCTGCCACGATGAGAATAGAATAGGCCAACATGAATATAGATAAATGCTAAACATCTCGTCATGCAGGGGGCGAGTCTCACCTGCCATCCTCCGCTTTGGTGTGACGTCATAATCTAAATATTTTAGAATTGCTATTTTTTTCTAAATGCAGCAATGGCAGGAAATGGCGGAACCGGTTAGGGCTTTTACCCCTGGCTTCAACCGGAGCCTGTCAACCGCGGAGCCACACCGGCTGGCGTCTATCAGGCTAAACTTGGTGGCTATTTAGCCCTATAGCAACAGATATTTTGTTGCAATGATATTAATTTCTAAAATACTGGTAAATAGCATCATCCTCAGGAGACGATACTCAAGTAAATGAGTGGGTCAAATTGCCCAAAAATTGCCTCACTTTTGATTCTCACCGCAGCACGAGCAGAGAGCGCACGTAGCACTGATCCGCTCTGTTGCCGAGCCAAACTGTGTCAGGATGACTCACACAAGCGCAAGACATGTATCGTTGTTTGGACATTACTTCATAATTTCTCTGAGTGAATGGCTGAATTTTATTGGGATTTTCGACTATTAATTCAGATGTTGCCTGAAAGTTTTCCTCCCGCTCAGATACAAATAGTATAAAAAATTATAAGAAAAAAAATCTTGAGTAGCCATGCAAACGCATGGCTGCTCAAGAATTTTTTTTCTTTACTCAATTATCTTTACTCATACTCATGAAATCGAACATAATAATAATATGGATAAGTTTAGTAGTGTGGTTTATTTATAGACAATTCATGAAGTGTAGGCAGAACTTTTAGAAGACAAGCTGCATCACTGCTTAAGAAACTGCATGGGATATGTAAAATAAATTGAGAATTAATTTTGATCTAAAAGATCGATAACCTTGGTCCTTAATTTTAAAATTGCACGAAAAAATCCTCAGGTGCCATGAATCAGGATTATGGTTAGATAGTTTTTGAGTGCTCGTATGATAGCAATAATTTGTTTGACGGCGAAAAATTAGAGTGAGATTAGAAAAAATATATTCAGTTGGAACCGAATCTTCCATTCCGCTGGTCTTCTCGTCCCTAGCTCACTGCAGAGAATACTGGAAAACATCAGAAAAAGGCACTGGATTTAAAGTTAACTCATTCGACTCTTGGAAATCCAGGGAAGAAGAAGGTGGAAAAGCCGGCTGGATGACGTTCATTAGACATGACGTTAGTTCATTAGACTCGACGAAATCCAGGGAAGAAGAGGTTGGAAAAGCCGGCTGGATGACGACTGCCCGCGGCACAAAGGGCGGACCCGCCGGTGCTGCGGTTGATTCCTGCAAGCGCCTCCACTTGAGCCCGCGCGTCTGGCAGGTGGTGGTGTGTAGTTGTCGCTCTGACTTCATTAATGTTTAATGTAAGTTTGCTTTAATTCAAGTAGTATTCAATTTACACTTAAGCTTCTTGTCGTTTGTGGCACACCAAAACATTGTAAACTTTAATTATTTATGAACCATCGCCTTCATTTAAAAAGGATTAATCCTGAAATGACTTCAATTTAGCTAAAAATTGAGCACTCGAAAAGTGTACGTTAAGTGTGATAATTTGATTCATGTTTTAAATATTTGTAGTAAATATTATAATATATCAATATTTCCCGAGATTCCTATTTTTTGCCATTTTACAGCTCTGAACATTTGGCTAATATGACGAAATATACTTATTGAGTAAAGTTTAAAATTTCATTTTTATTATATAAATGACACATAGAGATCAAGCTTCCAAAATAGTTTAATACCAAATTTTCCTCATAAACTATTTATTAAATTTGTTGAAGGAACTACTTTACACCCAAGGAGATGATCAGTCTGCTGGTGCTACTTGCGAGTGAGTAACCTTTCGTTTATTTTCAGTTTTATTTTAAATTAATAAGGTAACTTCCAGATTATAGATGTTCCTCGATGATGATTTCAGAGGTAAATAAAATTAGTAAAAAATTGTGGATCGACTTTCTTTAAACATAAAAGTTACAGATTCACGTTCTTATTTATGAAAGCCAATTAATGTTTGCACGTATGCAAACAAAGCTGCGACAAAATTGATCACGACAAAGAAGAATTTCACATCAATATAAATCATACATAAATAATATCAAATCATACGTAGATGCATTTGGCTGCTCGATGTGAACTCCAGTGAGTACTTATATATGCATGGATATGTGCGAACAGAATTGAAGTAGGGAAATATTCTTCGAATTAAAACAAGATGCAATAACTTGCCTGTTAAACTATCGCGAATTAAAACAAGATGCAATAACTTGCCTGTTAAATTATCAGGGAAATCAAATTATTTTGTCCACTTGATTACAAGGAAGCGTGAGTACGCACCAGCAATACGAGACAGAATTAGCTTATTGCTGGGACTAGCACAACTTTATCAGTTTGCAGCTGAAAATTTTAATGAAGTGATATAACTTGTTACTTTGCTATAAGTAATAATAGTTCCATCTTTCATATAATAATCGCAGGCTCAGAGCTGTTTTAGTTGCCAGAGTTTCCACAATATTATCGGTTCCTGCGTAGGGAACCTCGATGATTTTCCTACCCGAAGATGAAGTAACTTAATTTACCGTATAAAAGTGTTGGAATAATAAATTATATATCATCCAAATTAAATACTGAAAAACAGATCTTAAAATTTTCATTCGTTGTTGTGATATCGTAGAATTTCCATTAAAATGAACAAAATCTTTTAAATAGTTATAATTGATAACTACCGAAGATTGTTACCATGACAGGCGCAGTGGCGGCCGAGTGCCCCGCTGGCTACGAGGTCGTTGGATCCACGTGCATCCACCGCTCGTCCAATGGATATCTTAAGTACGACGACGCGGTGGCTTACTGCCACCAGAACTTCGGCAGGCTGCCCGTACTGCACGACTGCGCCTCGTTTACTGACGTAGCCACCTACGTTGACGATGGTGGTGAGTCCATACGGCGTAAACGTGACGTAGCCACCTACGTTGACGATGGCGGTGATTCTTTACGCGTAAACGTGACGTAGCCAGCTACGTTGACGATGGCGGTGAGTCTGTAACGGCGTAAACGGGACGTAGCCACCTACGTTCACGATGACGGTGAGTCCATACGGCGTAAACGTGACGTAGCCCCCTACGTTCACGATGGCGGTGAGTCTGTAACGACATAAAAATATTTAGAGAGCCGTACATGCATGCTATAAACCAGAGGTTATGTTATGTCATGAAGACTCCAAAGTCCGCCATCAACTCTAATAAAATGAGCCACACACCAACTCAGGCAAAACCTTTAATCGACAAAAACCGGTAGACAAGGGTTGTTCTTTCCCATGGCATCACTTTCAGAAATTTGGCCTCCATGGCCATCGAAGTAAAGACCGCCCTATTCAGAAATAATTCAATCTTGGGTACACTTTCACCATGCAACAATAAAGTCACTCAATACCTTCCAATAGAAGTCTTCTTCACCACATTCCTCGTTTTGAAATTCAAAATGTTCGCTTCTAACGTTGTGTTCCTCCAGAATCCTCGGCAGCAACAAACGGCTACTGGTTAGGCGCAAACAGCTTGTCGGCGTCACGCGTCTGGCAGTGGAGCGACGGCTCGGCAGTACAAATGGGCGCTCCTTATTGGGCGGCTGTGAGTGTACGCAATTGTCATACAAATCCTAAATAATCTGCCCACCTTACAACTGACAACTTTGGTGATCAGAATTCTTTGAACATGACGAAAGCGAAAACTTTTACTCAGAAGCCTCCTATACCGTCAATAAGCAAATCAAGTCCGACTCCACATTCACGGCATCCTGCCAGTGGCTTTTTCTGACCATACCACTAGATTTTCAAGCCATCATCTACTAGGTCCCCAAACAGTCACTAAATGCGTCGGAAATTAAATCATCTGGCCCAATGGTTTTAAAAGCAATGGTCATAACATAACTCTTTACATAATTTCTACACAGGACATGTCTATTTACGCCAAATACCTCCGGGGATCGCTGTCATGAAATTTCACGTCTCAATATCAACCTCTGTCAACAAGACATGAACTGCTGGCTTGTCGGACTCAACAAGATTTCAAATTATAATAATGTTATCACTGAACAAGTCAAGAGACTCGAAAGACATTAATATTTTGGTCTTTCAATTGATTTTGAAGGCAACAAGAATTCCAATTTTAAAGAGATACTGCCATACTAGCCCATTAAACACCGTGATCCTTCAAGACTTTGTATGCCACATTGCTAGGAACAAGTTCTGGTGGCATGCAGTTTCTTATTTTTCTATTCATCAGAACACTGTGAGTGTGGAGAGAGAACCCAGCGGCCTCTCCCCCTCAAATGTGGAGGAGAACTGCGCTCTGATCAGTCCTCATCGTGGTTGGTCAGTGCACGATTACCCTTGCGAAGAGGCGGGTGTGTATCCTGTGTGCTCTAGGATCCCTATTCGCGGTGAGTAAAGGAAACCTCAAAGTCAAGGTAAAGTTATGAAAAGAATTAGAAATTGATTTTACATGATGATTTATTTTGCTCTACCTTCTGTTTATTTAACATCATAATAGACTTTAGTCCTAAGGGTTTATATTGAATCAATAATAAAAAATTATATCTTGAGCGCAACCGTTTATCACGCATATGTAATAATATATTATTAATATAACGGTTCAGCATTTATTAGGCCGTAGGCCTATCGCCGATTCTTAACATTGCAGAACATCCACTGCTTGTTGCGGGCTTGAACTCGCAACTCACTGCTTCAAATTTTCTTTTATTAACCGCCCGGCCTCCTTGCCGATTCTGACCAGAAACTGGCGCACAGAGCTGGGATCAAACCCGCGCCTCTCTGCGCCAATCTTGGTACTCTGAACTGTAACCACCGGGCCACCACTCATGTCCCTCTTATGCTCTACATCAATTCATGTACTCCTGCAGGCTTGTGCGCACATCCATTCGTGCTCGTGGGTACGCAGTGCGTGCACGTGATCCAGGCAGAACATCACTGGGGCGCCGCTCGCACCCAGTGTGGACTCATCGGTGGAGATTTGATCATTTTGGACGACTGTGATCAGTACCGCAAAGTTAACCTTTACCTCACCAAGCAAGGTAAGCAGACCGGATTTGTGTGGATGTATCGCTTCTCCAACACTATGTGCAACAGCACGAGACGTGTGATCTGCGAGACACGGCCTCTCTAGACCTACGAGACACAACTCCTCTAGACTTGCAAGTCACTCCCCCTCTATAGAGAGGGTGACACAGCAAGACGGTACTATTCAAGAGGGAAATTTTCTTGGGTTAACGATATTGGGGAACAGTTTCTTAACAATCTCATGGCAAACATATAAGTGTGAATAACAGCAGTTTGTTTAAGCCACCAGACCGCTTAACCTTCCTAGGACACTTATAAACCAGCTGGAACTTTAAACATGGTAGGTTGTTCAGCACCCACATTAGCTATAATATACGTTTCGCCTTTCATCTTAGTCTGCCGTCACTTCATGAATTTAGTGACAGAGACAAATTTATCACCCATGTACCTTTATAAATTTTTTATCACCGCAAATGGTTTCCGAAAACAAAAACGACAGATAGAACGCGATGTAGACATCAGAGATAAAAGTTCATTGAAAGTTATTCAGCAGGAAATATTGAATGGGCATTCCTTGAGATCCAAATTTCAGCCAAATAGTGCGGGCATCGCGCTGTTGCAACGTTAGGTTGCGGAGCTGCATTGGTGCATAATGTGATTAATTAATTAATGTAATTAATTAATTGCTAATTTTTAATTTGAATCTTTAAGCAATTTTTTCTAATCTATTAATTTTTGTTAATCAATTACTTTTTTATTTATTAATTAATTAACGTAATTGATTAACGTAATTCCCAGTGATCTTCAAGTGTTACTTTTAACAGCTTTTATAAACAATATAATTTCATTAAGTGGCCGCTCGAGGAAACTAAATTCAAGTTATATAAGAAATTAATTCGAAGCTTGTCATATAAATTCTCAGCGTAAAAATTTAGTGCCATAATTAACTGCCAACAATCTTCGGAAAAAAGTGTCTCAAATTGTCGAATGTATACGATAGCTAAAATTAATTGCCTATGTTGACGGGGGTTTTAATAACTGATAAAAAATAGTATAAAGGCTAAACTATTCTATGGACAATTCTCATTACCATGAATATTTCAGTAGGACTCTAATAAGTGTCTTGTTTGACGCCCTGCTCTGAACTTCTAGGAAAATACACTAAATTTTATTTACTGAGCGTCTTCTGCTGAGTCTGAGAATAAAACATAATTAAACAATTTCCGAGCTATATCATTAGTTAAAAATTACTTATTTTTCCTTGAAGTGGCTTGCACCGGACGAATGCAGTAGAATTTTCAGGAAACTTCATCGAATTAATTGTGCACAATAACCAATATAATACAATAACTCATCTATTTGTCCGTAAAATTCCAAGTTTCATCAAACTTTTAATCGATGATTAGGATAAATTACCAGGACTTGAAAATTCATTCGTTGGAGGAGAAGAAAAAAGCATTAAAAACTGGGCATTATTTAGCATAAATGTAATTTTTCTGTTTTTTTTTTATTTAATATCTGAAAATTTTACTGAAAAGATGAAAAATGGCGTTTTCTTATGTCGAAACGATCTTAAATTGGAGTGCCATGTTTCATCCATTTTATGACAGTTCACAAACTCAACAGCAGTCAATGCTTTGTCTCTTTACAAACTTTCCGTTAAACTACATCAGTGAAAAATATATATTCGTGTATAAACACTGAACTGTAAAGTTGGAACTTTATTGTGATTTCACATCGAACGGCTTTCAATAAAAATGGTGGAATTGAGAGTGAAAGCTATTTTAAACTGCAAATTAGCTTTTGAAATACTCATACTTAATCAATTGATTCAAAATAGCGCATAAAATGTTGATAAAATGACTTGATTACAAATTAAATTCAATAACCGCTTATTTCCATACGTTTTTTTAATATCCCTCTTACTCAGAACCGTTTTGGCCACTTTTTCAACAGTATACTATTTTTATCTGAATATCTAAATATATTCATGGCAAGGAAATGGAAAAAAGACCGGGAGAATGGAATCCGATATTCATCGAAATACGCTACGTTTTCAAATTAATATCATATTATTAACAGCCTCTAATATGCCTCATCATATGAAGCTGTAAGAGGCTCTTAACATTCGACTTGACACAGTAGGTTAATATTTAACAATTGAACAGTGTATATAACGCATTCAGGACGTGTGCACTCACTAATTACTTTCAACTTTCAAAAATTTTAACATTGAGCCAAAATTAAACGATTAAGGTCGTTTTGCCAACAGAAATAAATTTTTGTTAAAATTTCAAGGATTGGAGCACGCCATCAGCCTAGTACTGAAAAGTATGTAGGATTGCGACGCGAGAGGAACAGGGAAAGTGAGGGTAAGAGATGGGGGCTGCGTGGTTTAAGACTCATCGTCTGATAGGTGGCAACGATGTCCTCTTTCGTGAGCATCAGCAGGTCAGGAAATTTTGGATTCATCCGCCTGCGCAACATCGAGCGTTTGGGTAGAAACGAAAATGGTGAGGTCGTCAGGGCAAGAAGCATTGTTGGAGACCGGACAATCTGAGATGAAGTGGTCCAGCAGCGCAGATGATATAATAACCATTTGGGGACTGTAGTGTGAATTGCTCTGAAGAAGGGTTGCTTTCTATGTCAAGGCAGGACGTCAGACCGCCTCTACGGTATAGCAGCAAAGCCAGTGAATCGGAATGTCATGGAAATCTGAGTGCACAATCATGATGAGGAGAAGAGTGAGGTTGGCATTATTGACTGTTTTCGAGAGACGGATCGCCAGTGCCGCTGTGCCTGGCTGTAAGTAATCGTGAGTTGGAATCCTCCGCGTTCCAGTCCGCGATTGAGAGGAGAGTAGCCGATAAGGACCGATAAATAGCCGCCAAAGTAGGCAAGGATGGCTTACAATGAGCCAAGAAGGTGCAGCTCAAATATTTCGACTGGTAGGCAAAGAAGAGAGATGGGAGCTAAGCTTTCGTGGGCTTGTGGTTATGAATATTCATGAGTTCTTTCAGGTGATCTGAATTGAATCACTTGAGACTTCTCCGGAAACACCGAATACTTCTGAGTCATGTAGTCTTAAAGATTCGTGGAGTCTTCCGCGTTCATTAGGTTATTCAACATCATGGAATCCTGCGGGTTCCCAGAGTCCTCCTGAACTCTCGAGCCCTTCTTCTGTTTAACGGCTTCCGACAGTTTAGTCACCAGCGTCCCGTGGATTGAGCGACGATAGCGGAACACCGGCAGTGAGTCCGGCTTGTAGTGGCTGACGGGGAAAAAATATAAATCACACTCAAATGAAGAAATATGTACCAACCATTGTGCGTGAGGATGAGAGCACCTGGAGATGATGAATGCTGCAATCTGACGAAAATATTTTCATTTAATATGAGAATCTGATGCGGTGTAGTGGGCAAGATGTGATTGGTATATTATGATTGCCAATGACCTTCCCTGGTGCTACAGACCAGTGAAAAATTATGCAGTTATAGGGCTGCTTGCTGTATATAATAAGGATAAAACGCACTCAAAAGTGTACATTTTTTCGGCCCCTGCATGGGCGAAGATATATCGGTGCTCATCTCTTCCGCCCTAAAATCATTATCCTTCAATCGCTGACGCCGCAACCTCCATTTTTGACCGTTTATCATGAATTACGGCTGAATTAATATATTATGCTTAAAAACTAGAAATATTTCATGATATCACTGCTCAAATTTGTGTTATTATAAATTTAAAAGCCTTTGTTGAAAACCATTCAAGCTCGTCATATTTAAGATATGTACCGCTCCACAAGAAGAAGTAGTCTATTTCAAAGTATTGATTGTCCACTTTGAAGTTGGAAAAACCTACATTAAAGTGGGCATGGCCCACCTGCCAGTAGTTGATTTGAGTCTAGCCCACATGCAGGCCGTCGGTGTGCAGGTTCGACTCACCTCTAAGAAAAGGCCCACTCGGAAGAGGTGTGGTGCAGTACCCACATGTAAGAAGAAGTGGGTTAGCCCACTGGGTCTGGTGGGCTGCAGTACCCACCTTTAGGGAGAGATGGGGTACCCCACTAGGCCTGGTGGGCTGCAGTACCTACCTGTAAGAAGAAGTGGGTTACCACACTATAGGCCTGTTGGCTGCAGTACCCACCTAGCTGTAGGGAAAGGTGGGGTACCCCACTTGGCCTGGTGGGCTGCAGTACCCACCTGTAGGAGAGGTGGGGTAGCCCACCAGGCCTGGTGGGCTGCAGTACCCACCTGTAGGGAGAGGTGGGGTAGCCCACCAGGCCTGGTGGGCTGCAGTACCCACCTGTAGGGAGAGGTGGGGTACCCCACCAGGCCTGGTGGGTTGCAGTACCCACCTGTAGGGAGAGGTGGGGTACCCCACCAGGCCTGGTGGGTTGCAGTACCCACCTGTAGGGAGAGGTGGGGTACCCCACTAGGTAGAGGTGGGCTGGTCCTAGTCTGAGGCGCATGAGGCCGTTGTGTGCCTCCCTGATGGTGCAGCAATGGACGCGTAAACACTGTGGATATATTAATAAATAATAGATAATAAGGAAACACATAAACTATGTACAATAAATTAGTAACACATTTTATAATGAAATTGACTCACAACACAAGTGTTACTGAAAGCTTTGATAAACGTTGAAATTGTCCGCGTGTATACTTGTATGTTAGTGCAAATAAAATTTACTCTCATTACAATGTTGTCGATATTAGGTAAAGATAAATGGCGTTAGTTAACATAGTGAATATATAATTTATACGTTATGATAGACTCATACTGACCAGAGCCAGCTCCCCGAACACGTCCGACATGAGCTCGTCGGTGTTGTTCATCTCAAAGAACATCACTAGGATTGTTTCTGGGGTGAAGTCACCAACTGTGATGTTATCTGGCAACATCTCACGCACCCAGGCAACTTGTAGGGACGGGTGAAGACCTTATTTGTTTTTGATAGCATTAGTATTGGATTTTGTACCTTCAATAAAATTTTTGGCTGAATATTCATGCGCTGCATTCTCCGTTGGGTAATATTTTGTTGTATGATCAATTTTTTTGGAGTTGTTTTTTGGAGAATTTTTTAAGTTTATTTGGATCAAAAATCTGACTTAAATATTTTAATTTTATTATTTGTCATGAATTTATTTCCTTGCCTAACACTAAACTGAATGCTTTTAAAGCTCGAACGCAATTAATTTACATGGCTATTTTTAAGATTTTGGTCGAAATAAAAATGTATCAACACTACCTTCAATAATATCGGTGTTGACGTGCACCTCTTGACGTGCACCTGTTGACACGTACGGCAACAGAGGATCAACCGGCAACACTTCTGTACAAAACGAATTTTTGGACGGGTCCAGAAAAATTGCTTGTGAGAAGGCTTCGTGGATTGCCACCTCGTGATTCTCGGGGTTGAGCCTGGAAATTGGAGTGAAGTTGCAATTACAAAACTAATTAGAAGCATTGCCGTGAAACGACAGCAATTTTCTTTGCCTAGTCGAAAAGAATTAGCAAATGTGTTATTTATAATTTTTACGCAGCAAACGAAAGAAGCATAGCCATAAGTGTAGTTTTTTCTTCTTAATATAAATGTCGCGTTATTGAGGTTTACTTAAATTGCATGCATGTCGAAGGATATGATTATTGTTCTCACTCAATTGTGTTATGAATTATCATTGGCCAGAGCAAAACTTCGGTCGCCCCAGCTTCTGCTTATCCGAATCAGAAGGTACTGTTTTTCTGATATTGTTTGGATTACAAGATCGGAACATCTTCATGCAAATCGATTGGACCAGAAGAATATAGTAAATGTCTTATAAATGTAAAAATTATTATTGAAAATGTTGTCCCGATGAGGAGATATATTTCTTTTTAGAGAAAAAGTGCACATAACATTTGATCTAAAAATATGGAACTTTAATTTTATTTATAAATAAGCCTTGTTTTATGAATTTTCATTGATCTCGAATATTTGAGCCAACATTTCAAGAATTTCAACCTGATGCCCTTTCCATTATAATCAAGAGCTCCTTGTTGATGTTCTGCCAGTCCTCGAGAGCTGCATGAGACATTTCACTGCATTATAATCAAGTTACTCTATGACCTCAAGTCTCCTCAAGTCCCTCGAATCTCTTCAAGCCCCTCGAATCTCTTCAAGCCCCTCGAATCTCTTCAAGCCCCTCGAATCTCTTCAAGCCCCTCGAATCTCTTCAAGCNAAGCTGCAGGGCTTTGCACAGCAACGCCAACTCCGAATACGTTGAGTCTGAGACTACGACTAGACGAGCCAGGCTCACACCGCTTGCCCGGAACACTGACTTGAGACTTCTGTGGTGTATGGAGTAAATTGATGTAACTATTAATTTTTTCTCATATTAACAATATTATAATTCTGAGGTCATATCATAAATTTATTCGGACCTACTTTTTGTTATTAAAATAATTTTGTCTCACTGTAAAGCAGTGAAATGTGCGTTTATTTAAGTTAGACCCTTCAGAATATGTACCCTCAGCCTGTATTTTCTAAAGAACCTTCATGGGAATCACGAAAAACCCTAATAAAGATATATGGGGCAAAAGAAATATATCATTCGTATATCATTCCTTTTGTATAATAATAATCGAGTTTTTAAATGAAATCAGGCAAGAATTTCCGAGAAGTATTTACAGTAAGTATTTTCTATTTCAAGATTCGAAATTTTTTGTTGAACCGTCGCCGAATTGAAGATCCTGGGATTAACCCTCTTTATAAGGTACAATATATATTAATGCGTATCATAGAATATCATCCGACAATTTTATATCAATTTTAAGGGTCTTTCCCATCAACACTCATAGAAACGAGTGATTTTTGTCCAAATGGCAGAGCACATTTTGCCTTGCGTTGGTCATTCACAAATAATTTGGTCCTGCAAATGAGCACATCGGTGCTCTGTCTGCTCTCTGTTCGTGCTGTGGGTAAGAGAATTAAGAAGTAACAAATGCGTTATTAATAAATGTTAAAATAATGCGCTATTCATAACGGTTATATAACTAATGAAAAAAATATTCAGTCATAAGTGCAGTCTTTTTTTCTTACTACAAATGCCACGCTATTAAAGTCTACTTTTAACTGCTTGTTTTAGGAAATGATTATAGTTCTTACTCGATTGTGTTACGAATTATCCTAGGACAAAACAAAACGTACGGTCGCGCCAGCTTCTGATTACCCGAATCAGAAGGTACTGCTCCTCTGATATCGTTTGGAACGCAAGATCTAAAAATTTTCATGTAAATAAGGCCAGAAGAAAAACAATAGTCAAATAAATAGAAAAATTAATATTGAACACATTGTCCCGATGAAGAGATGTAGAACATATATGAGGAGATATATTTATTTTTAGAGAGAAGGTGCATATATCATATTTGACCAAAAAATCTGGAACTATATCTTTCTTTTATATTTACCTGATATTTTGAAGCTGATAAAAGTTTTCGGCTGAATTGATCGCGAATATATGAACCACCATATCAAGAATTTCAACCTGACGTCCCTTAATTGCATTATAATCAATGGCTACCTGTTTATGTTCTGCCAGTCCTCGAGAGTGGTGTGGGCCATTTCACTGCATTATAATCAGGTTATTCTATGACCTCAAGTCTCCTCAAGTCCCTCTAATCTCTTCAAGTCGCTCGAATCTCCTCTGTCCATCCACTCACCCGTCGATGTCGTATTCGGAGGGCGCCGCCCTGTTGATATTCTGCCAGGCCTCTAGGGCGGCGTATGCATACTGATCCAAGTGTAGGCCCGAGCTGCCGAAGTGGAAGGAGCGCGAGACCTGAGCAAGGGGCGGTAGTGTCAGGCCATATTTCCAATGCCGGTAATAAAATAATAAATTGAATCTCTGCATAATTTCCACACATGCACATTTACAGGAGGCGTGACTCTTCTTTAACTGAGATTTAAAAAAGACTTGCTTAACTAGGATCAAAAAGAGGGCGAAGATTAAACCCAGGGTCTGGGTCTGGGCCAGGGTGTGTGTTACGGACAGATTCAGCGTCACTAACATGGTCTAGAGTCCGGGGAGAGTGACGACTTGTCTGCCAGAGGCTGAGGGCGCTGTGATACTTAGCGGAGCTAAAGCGTGTCCGGGACTGTCACGTCCGACACTCATTATTGCAAGCTACCTAGTATCAATTTTGAACTAAAGGAACATTGATTATCTTACCTCAGGCACGATGCACTCGCGACCTCGTCGCAGGCTCATGTAGACGCCGATGTCCCAGTCATACGGCACACCTCCCTTGTTGATGAGCTCGACCATCTCGAGCAGGAATGAAGTTAGCGCCAACCACCCATAGTTTGGCATGCTGGCCGTGCGTAGGAGCCTCGTGGTGTTGTAGGAGTTGTGCACGTACGAGAGGTCGTTGTGGGCGCTCACGCAGTACAGACCTGCGTCAGTCTTGAGGAGGGGGGCCGTGGCAGCCATGAACCTGGTGAGTGAGGGATAGGATCAGGGTCAGGAATGTCAGTGATAGATATAGGGTCAGGAATAAGGTCAGGGACAGAAATGGGGTACGAGACAGAGAGGGGGTAAGAGACAGAAATAGATTCAGGGAGAGAAATAGGCTCAGGGACAGAAACAGGGTTAAGAACAGTAATGGGTCTGAGTAAAAAATGGGGTCAGGATCAGGAAGGGGTTCAGAGACAATATCTGGCGACACTTGCGCTCACATGAAGAAGTCAGGCGACACCTCGACGTCATCTTCCAGGAATATCATGGAGTCTGTTGCAGGGAAGCGTTCCAGGACGAAGGTGACGGCGCTGGAGTAGAGCTGAGCGATGCTCTCCACGGCGAAGACTTTGTCGTTGGGCAGCACGACGTGCAGAAGCTGCAGGGCTTTGCACAGCAACGCCAACTCCGAATACGTTGAGTCTGAGACTACGACTAGACGAGCCAGGCTCACACCGCTTGCCCGGAACACTGACTTGAGACTTCTGTGGTGTATGGAGTAAATTGATGTAACTATAAAATTTTCTCACATTAACATTATTATAATTCCGTAGTCAATATCATAAATTCATTCGGATATACTTTTTTTATTAAAATAATTTTGTCTCTATGTAAAGCGGTAGTTCATATCATAAATTTATTCGGACCTACTTTTTTGTTATTAAAATTATTTTTTGTTTTTTAAAATAATAAAGCGGTAAAACGTGCATTTATTCAAGTTAGAATCTNTAGGTGTGGTGTGTAAGTGTGGTGTGTAAGTGTGGTGTATAAGTGTGGTGTGTAGGTGTGGTGTGTAAGTGTGGTGTGTAAGTGTGGTGTGTAATTGTGTTGTGTATAAGTGTGGTGTGTAATTGTGTTGTGTATAAGTGTGGTGTGTAAGTATGATGTATATTGCTAAGTCCCACCTGGTCCCTGTAGTCCGGGACGTAGGGACGTTTGCAGTCACAAAAGTCCCCGTATAGCTCGTATGAGTCGCACAGCGCCCGTCTCGCGTCCCACGGCGGGTCATGGGGCCAGGCGGGACACAAATCTGGGCCCAGGGGACCAAAGTGCACATTTTGGGACGGTAATTGGAGCTTAATTTCACACAAATCTGGGCCCGGGAATTTTACTGTCCCATTTTTGGGACGATAATTAAAGCTTAATTTTACCTAATAATTTATTGCATGATAATTGGTGCGAATTTAGAGCAGCGGAATTCACCTTTGTGGTATATTAAATTACTTTAGAAAGCGTGAAGATGATGGAAGAAGGAAACGTAAATGAGGGAAGAAAAAATGTTGGTATAAATGAATATATGGGTAGTGAGAGCATCTGATGATACTGGATTTGCGGAATTTAAACGTCAGAAGAAGAGTATGTTTATTAACCATCAGTAAAGTAATAAGAAAGGATGGAAAATGAAAGAAAAATCCGCAGAATCAAAATTAAGAATGAAGAAAATATTGGTCTTTGACGAGCCGAGACTGAATTAATAAGGACTTTAATAGTCATTAATAATTAATAAAAAAGAACTTTAACAGCCCGTGTGGTGGATAGTAGCCACCACACGGGCATGGCTATTAAGATGCAATCTGTTGAGAATATACATAATATTGAATATTATTTATGGGTAATTATATTGAAATATGATTATTTACTGGAGAAGTTATATTACTCACTTCAAAACCAGATTACACTCACAGTGTTGGTGAATGAGAGTCTGCTGAAACTGTCCCCACCTGCTTCATGGTCTGCTGAAACTGTCTCCACCTGCTTCATGGTCTGCCGAAACTGTCTCCACCTGTTTCATGGTCTGCTGAAACTGTCCCCGCCTGCTTCATGGTCTGCTGAAACTGTCTCCACCTGCTTCATGGTCTGCTGAAACTGTCCCCACCTGCTTCATGGTCTGCTGAAACTGTCCCCACCTGCTTCATGGTCTGCTGAAGCCGCCCAGGCCTCCACGTGAAGCGCTGTGGTCTGCTGCTGCTCCTGCAACGAAGTGTTTGCTTATACACTGAGAAAAATGAGTTTGACTTTGTACGATTAGTAATGTAATTCTTGCCATTGTGCCGATCATCCTAACCCATTTCCCCCGGAAAAAAGCGTATCACTTCTACGTGTAGGAGGTGTGTCACTGTTTGCATATGATGACCCACAAAATTTCTGGGCGTACTCCCGACGCCGTTAATGCCAGCGGCGAATTAGGCGCGAAAGTTAGCAGATTTTGCATTAAATTTTGACACTCGTTAAATTCATTTATTATCTTCATATAAACAAAATTGAAATATTGAATATTGTAACCTGCTAGGTTACAAAATTTATTGTTTACTTATATAAAGGTGAATTATTGTGGCTATATATAACCTGCTTTGTATTCTCGGTTATTGTTTCTTAAAAACTGCATAAGGGCTGCGATTTTCCATACAGCTCAAGGACCAAGCAATTTTTCGTGTTATCCAACAAAGAAAGTAAGTCTTATTGAGGAGAAGCACCTGTATTCACAGCTCAAAAATATGCGTTAATATTTTGCAGCGAAGAACATTCCTCGTGCGGCTTCATTCGATTTGAAAATGTAGGGAAAAGAGATGCATTGCAATGATCCATATTGCCTGATGAGTGGGTGTTTAAAATAACATTCATGTTTTGATTAAACAACCAGTGAGAATTGTAGAGCTAAAAGAGATTGAAGGGCGCAAATGTTCACAAGGAATTGTGAAAATTGCAACATTTTTCATTGCTGGAGCTGTTAAGCTATTGTAAAATTTATTTGTAGATGAGAATATCAACGATTGGCAGGCAAGCTTGGCCCTAAACCCGGCTCGATAATCCCTACAATTTCAAAATTCTGAATTCCCGATTCCTATCACTCAGGTTACCTCGAATAATTCCAGTTATGCCGAATTCCATCATTGCCTGATGTCGAATCCATTTATCGATAATAAAATCGATGTTTAATGATTGAATGAATATCCGTTCAAATTCGCATTTTACACAAAACATATAAGACTCAATTGATTTTCGTTTCAAAACTTGGATCTTTAAATTACACGTATAAATAAACGAAAATATAGAAATTAAACTTTAATTTTGAATCAAATCCTTTCTTCCCTTTCCTTAAAGCATTTCATATTCTCCCACTAAGATTACATTTTCAAGTCCAGGTAATATACCAACATGATAAGTTTGTAATGATTAAAGGGGATTCTGACAGTTAGTTTGCTGGGGGCAGTAAGGCCCTCGACGAGGGTTGGGCCACCCTTGATGTAGGCCCAGAACCAGGCGGTGTTGGGGGCCAAGTGCTGGACGAACACAGACCCCAGGGCCCGCAGATGGCGCACCGTGGCTCCACTCAGCCCCTCTTGTGGTGACGGCTGGCCCAAAATATTTAACAGTTGAAATATAACAGAATGAAACAATATTAGTGAAGAAAAAAGTAATTTATATGATTAATACAAGCTAAATACCCTTGATTCTGTTTTTTTTATCTTCAAACTTGTTCACCTCTCTCTCAATCTGCCCATCTTACCCTCAACCCTGCTAGCCTTATCTTAAACCTTCGCGAAACTATATTATTGTGTTATATCTCATACCATACACACAGCGATCTATTCTCGCCACGTCCAGCAATGAACCACATATGGGTTGAAGCTTAACGAAGGCATCGTGGTGCATCATCCACTATTTTAGCCCTGCCACTATCTTTGCAATCAACCCTGCCACTAACCTTGCCACCAACCCTGTCAATAAACCCTGCCATCAACCCTCTCACCAACCCTAAGGACGATGAGCACGATCCTGCCGGGCTGGACGGCGTCCAGCAGCGCCTCCAGCGTCCCCGACAGCGCCCAGGGTTGCACAAGCTGGGGGGCCGCCAGCCGCTGGCCTGTCGCCTGCACAGGGTAGGTTTTTTGAGGTTGTTTGGGTTGTGAGGTCATGGGGTTATAGGGTCATAAGGGCAATAAGGTGATTGGAGTTATATGGTGTAGCGATGGTGTGATGAGGGGCTTGAGGTTGTGAGGTAATGATGGTGGTAGTGTCTGGCTGGGGTAATGAGATGGCGTCACCTGATGCAAGATGACCACGAGGAAGCCAACGTTATGATGAGGGTTGACTGCATCTGGCCTCGTCCCGTCCACGCTGAGTGTCTGCAGGGCGATGTAGGGGGATTTATGGTGATGTACTAACAAAAGAATCTCATAAAATGAGCTCACGCAGGAAGATGAGTAAATATTAAGTAGTTCCCTCCACCCGTTAGTGTTTATAGTTATTATGTATCATTGTTAATATGATATTAGATATTATATAATCATATATACGTATGTGGTAATATTTCGCAATACCGTGATTGTGATTAGTTGAAATATCGCGTCCGGTTATATATTCTGTAACTAGTTGGTACTTAAAAACCGGTCGCAAAATGAAATCAACTACACTACAGGACATTATAAAAAACGCCAACCTCGTTAGGTTAGAGTTATAGTTCGGTGTGAATAAAAGACTTTTTAACGTTGCTAGACATCTTTATTCAGTGGATAGGTCCAGCCGGGCCAAGTTTCTTTAACCTTTTTTACAATTTAAAAAATCATTGGGCACAAATTATAAAATTCCGGATAATTGGAATTATATCTATATAAATATTTATATATATTTTTTTCTCGCCCTACCATGTCCCGGGTTCTGATGGCGGCCCTGTTGAAGCTAGAGAGGCCTTGAAGTATGTGAGGTCCCCTTGATATCGGAGTCCTAGCTCCCTCGGGGGACTCCTTTGTTTCCCTTGTTATGTTCCCCCCAACATGGGTGGTCGGGGTCGGGAAGCCGGAGGAAGAGAGATGGGAATCGGGGAAGTGTGCGGGGATGCTGGGGGTGGTTGGGGCGACGAAGAGGTTGAGTGGCTGAATTTCGGAGGTTGGCGAGGAAACATCGAATATTACTGATGAGGTTTTGAGGTTTACTGCGATGCCCGCAGGTTTTATCTTTGTAGCACCTACGTTTGCAGGGGTGATAAAGGAGTTTGTTGGGTTGGTGATGGGGGTTGACAAGATAGCGGATGCTGGCCATGATAAAGACCAGAGCAGCGGCAGCAGCAGCAACGCCGCAACCCGCATCGCATGTATCGGGGTCATATACCGTGATGGTCAGAAGAGATCATCTACCATGAATATCTGTCATCATCGTCTACCGTGCTACTCCGATAGATAATATCATCTATTTTAATCTTCTACTGAGCGAACATTACGGATCTTTTATTCTTCTGTAAATATTCACTAAAGCTACTATCGAGGTAATGAACCTACATTATCTACCGTGATCGAGAGTCGGGATCATCTACCTCGTTCATCTAACTTGATTATCTGCGTTGATCATCCAGGAAGGTCATCTACTAAGACCATTTCAACCCCTTTATCTACCATCTTCTCTCATGCAGGGGATGAATTCGCCCCGTTTGTACCTGATGGCAAAATGGGGATTAATCTGTTACATCTTCTACGGGTGATTATAATGTATAATTTTATATAATATATAATTTGATATATAATTTTATAATTTTGGTAGAAATCGGGTTAGATTAAGCTCTAATCGGTAGAAATTTTGGTAGATTAAGAAAAAACATTCGTTCTTCACTACGTTCCACCCTCAGCACCGTTCGAGCGTCACCACGACCCACCCTAAGCACCGTTCGTGCGTCACCACGACCCACCCTCAGCACCGTTCGTGCGTCACCACGACCCACCCTCAGCACCGTTCGTGCGTCAACACGACCCACCCTCAGCACCGTTCGTGCGTCAACACGACCCACCCTCAGCACCGTTCGTGCGTCACCACGACCCACCCTCAGCACCGTTCGTGCGTCACCACGACCCACCCTCAGCACCGTTCGTGCGTCACCACGACCCACCCTCAGCACCGTTCATGCGTCACCACGACCCACCCTCAGCACCGTTCGTGCGTCACCACGACCCACCCTCAGCATCGTTCGTGCGTCACCACGACCGGCCCTCAGCACTGTTCGTGCGTCACCACGACCCACCCTCAGCACTGTTCGTGCGTCACCACGACCCACCCTTAGCACCGTTCGTGCGTCACTGCGGTATACACAGGAAAATTGACTCAATAATTTGAGGAAGTTCATTTATTTTCTCAACTTTCCTTATTCGCGCTTTTTTAAACTCATCGTCAGGTGGGAGCCTATTATCTATCACGACTATTATCTGTTTAACGCGTTATTGTTTCACTTGTTATGCTTCACTTGTTCTGTTTCATTTGTTTTGTTTCTAATGTTTTCTGTTTCACTTTTTTCTCTATTTCACTCGTTTTCTGTTTCACTCACTACCCGTTTTACTTGTTATCTGTTTTACTTCTTATATTTTCATTCGTTTCCTGTTTCATTCGTTACCCGTTTCGCTTAATTGTTACCTGATCTACCTGTTTCCTGTTTCGCTTGTTATCTGTTCAACTTGTTACCGTTTTCGATTTCTATCTGATACATTTTATTAAATTTAGTTTATGCAATCTGATCTAATTATTAAATTAAATTCTGTTTAGGTGTGCCTGAGTCTATTGTTAAGCACAGTCTAGGGCATGTGGCTTGACCACAATAAACTTATGGTTCTTAGATACGCGTGGAGACAAAATCTCACTCTAATTAACGATCAAAATCTCGTTATTTTCAGGACTGATTATTTAATACATATGACATCAGTAATCATCATCAGTAATCATCATCAAGTAATCATCAATATTTTAACATTTTATTATAGTGAAAATGCCATTGTATTTTTTTCTTTACACGCTTCTCTTGATAGCGTCTTTAATTTCTGTCAATACTAATGCTTTAACAGTGGAAGAAAATGAACGGAATCTCCAGAGTATATACGATAAGTACGGCCGTGGTTCAGGCGACAGCTGGCTGTCAGTTCTGGACGAGAGCTACGGGCATCACCACGACCCACCCTCAACACTATTCATGCGTCACCACGACCCACCCTCAACACTATTCATGCGTCACCACGACCCACCCTCAACACTATTCGTGTGTCACTGCGGTGCATACAGGAAAATTGTCTCAAAAATGTGAGGAAATTCATTTATTTTCTCAAGTTTCCTTGTTCGCGCTTTTCTTAAACTCATCGTCAGATGGGAGTTTTTTATATATCATGACTATTACATGTTTAACTCGTTATTGTTTCACTTGTTCTCTGTTTCATATGTTTTCTGTTTCACTTGTTATCGGTTTCACTTATTCTCTGTTACACTTGTTCTCTGTTTCACCTGTTCTCTGTTACACTTGTTCTTTGTTTCACTTGTGATCTGCTTCACTTGTTTTCTGTTTCAATGACTTCTGTTTCATTTTTTATCTATTTCACTGGTTTTCTGTTTCACTCGTTTCCTGTTTAATTAACTCATTACCCCTTTCATTTGTTATCTGTTTTACTGGTTTTCTGTTTCGCTTGTTGTAATTCAACTTGTTAACGTTTTCGATTTTTATCTGTTCACTTTATGAAATTATGTTCATGCAATCTGATCGAATTATTAAATTAAATTCTGTGTAGGTGCGTTGGAGGCGATTGTTGAGCACAGTCCAGGCCAACACTTTAGATTCAAAGATAAGCGGGGAGACAAAATCAAGGTATATCAAAATAAAATGAAAATGTTTCACTTATACGGCTATACGATTTCGCACCTAATAGTTAAATATTCGATAAGTTCATGTTGAGACAGAAACTCGAATGTATTATTACATATAATCCAACTCGGATGTTCTCCCAAAATTGGAATTTTATTCACTTCAGAGCGGAACCAATTCGGTTAAAATGTCACTAGCATCAGTTCAGCCGTTTCTAAATAGAATTAATATTAATAATTTTTCAAATTCAACTCGAAAGTTTTCTCAGACCTAGGAATTATTCACTTTAAAGCGGAAAAAATTCCATTGAAATTTTCACGAGTATCAGTTCAACGGTTATTAAAATAGGATTTGTATTAATAACTTTTTATATCCAACTCGGATGTTCTCCTAAACCTAGAATTTTAACCACTTTAAAGCGGCAAAAAGTCTGTTAAAAATTTCCGAGTATCAGTTCAGCCGTTTCAAAAGTGGTATTGGTTTTTTGATTTTTCAAATCCAAATCGTAAGTTCTCCCATTCCAAGAAATTTATTCACTTTCAAGCGGCAAAATGTCTGCTTAAATTTCACAAGTATCACTTGAGCCGTTTCTAAAATAGTCTTATATATTCATAACTTTCTAAATCAAACTCGGAAGTTATCCCAAACCTAGGAATTTGTTCACTGTAAAACAGCAAGAAGTTTTTTTATAATTTCAGTTCATCTATTTAAAAATAGAATTAGTATTCTTAACTTATCAAATTAAACTCGAAAGCTCTCGCAAACCTCGAAAATTTTCCCTTTAGAGCGGTAAAAAGTCTGTTAAAAAAAGTCTGTTAAAACTTCACGAGTTCAGCCGTTTCAAAAAATAGGATTAGTATTCATAACCTTTCAAATTCATAGCAAAAGTTCTGCTAAACCTAGAAATTTATTCAATTTAAATTGGCAAAAAGTCTGTTAAAATTATACGAATATCAGTTAAGCCGTTTCTAAAATTGGATTGTTATTCATAACTTGATAAATCCGACTTGGATGCTCTCCCAAACCTGTAAATTTATTCACTTTAATGCGGCTAAAAATTTGTTAAAATTTAACGAGTATCAGTTCAGGCTTTTCTAAAATGTAGTAAGTATTCATAAATTTTCAAATTCAAAATCGAAAGTTCTCCCAAACCTAGAAATTTATTTACTCTAAAGCGGCAAAAAGTCTGTTATCATTTCACGAGTATCATTTCAGCCACTTCTAAAATAGGATTAGTATTCTTAACTTTTTGAATCATAGGTACTAGGATGTTCTCAAAACATGGAAATTTATTCACTTCAAAGCGGAAAATTTTCAGTTAAAATTTCACTCCATCATTCAGCCATAACACTGAATTAGTATTTATGACTTTTTTAATTCAACTCAAAAATTCTCCCAAACTTCGCGAGTAACAAATTTCACGAGTAATAGTTCAGCCGCTTCTAAAATAAGGTTACCATCTGCATGCAACATCACCGACAAAATAAAGGCCTAGAGGAATTTCGAATATATCATGAACTTTTAACATTCAGGTAGTTCGATCTTATATATGCGTGCTTATAGATCAATTCCCCAGGGCTTTTTCATATTTCGTTACTCCTGCGGAACGCGGTGATCTTTTTTTCCAATTCATTAACATCAATGACATGGCTATGCTTCATCCTCGCCATGCCGATGTATTTTTTCACTTCAGCCCTATTTCATAAATTTCGTTTCTCTATAATACGAAGGAAATTTCGTAAGATTAGAAAGTTAGATTGTTGAAAATCGAAAAAAATAGTATAGTTTAGTTTATTTGGCTATAAGCTAAAATAAATCTTAGAGCATTCCATCATTATTTATTAAGTTTGCTATATCAACTGTTGACAATAATTCAGCAATTTGATTGCTTCTTGGGAAACATGGTCTTGCTCCATCCAATAGGAATATTTTTTTACTACAACATCTGTGGAGAAAAAATGCATAAATGCAGGACTAAAAATATTCCTCTGAAACCAAAAATCAATATTTTTCCAACAAATAGAAGATTCATCTTAGTTGTAGATCAACGTCTACAAACTTGTTTCAATTGGTGACAGTAAAGACAGGAAGAAATGATTTGAGCTTAAAACAACGGCCGGCTGGGCAAGCTCTATATAATTTTCATCGATATGCATATAGATATGATTTTCGTGGATGATCATATAACTCTAGGATTTAAAGAGTTACCTCTGCGTGCAATTTCTAACGTGAATGGAAAACCAATTAGCACCTGTTATAAAAACTGTTTAAATTTGTTCTTTAATAGCACCAATGTATTTTTTTCAGGTGTAAACAAAAAAACGTTCACTTTCAGTCAGTCAAAATTTGGCATTAACAAAGCTGTCTTACGCAAGACTCATCTGAAAAGTTATTATCGAAATCATCCAACTAACTGACCAATCAGAGGCTTTGAATTTGCTATTCTAGCTCCTGTCGACTCAGTGCGCAATACGCGTGGATGAAAGGAGGTTGTACCTTGTCAGCGGCATCTGCGTTAACTGACTAGAGAGCATATGAAGAAATCCGTGAGACGTTGTCCAAATAGCATAGACAACGCATTGATTGTAATTTTTTGCAATTAAGGCACTAAATTACATTATCCCCATTGAAAATTAGAGGAGAGGACTTTTTTTCGCGAGCCACCTAAAATTTAGAACATTTTGCGAGTTGGAGTTCAAATATCAGCGGAGAAAGAAAGGAATTTGTGTACGTAGCTAGAAAAATGGCTAGTTTGTCAACCTCAACTTAATTTTAAATCAGGAAGGCATGAAGATATTGTTTCAGTGAATGATCGTAAAACTAATAGTTATAAATATCAAAATTTGCTTTTAAATTATAGCACAAAAGGAAAACAAATTAGCTGGCATTAACTCAATTAATTTTTTTCCCAAAAACACCGTTTAGCACGATCACATATAATGTCTATATTAAATTATTGACAAAATTCTATCACAATTCACCGTGTTGCAAGTAAATCAATAGTTTTATATTGCTTCGGCACGCTCAAAACTTGTACGTAA